AGATGCCTCTTGAGCAATTGACAAGCAAGATATAAGGTCCTTGTGTAGACATGCATATTTGCATAGAATGAATGTCAAAAGAGGGGACAGTTTCGAATATTTTGTTTACATTTTTGTTTGCATTTTATTGTTTACATAGTGTCACTATGAGCTTTACTGAAAGCCATGGCTAAATATTTCAACTCTAGAGTTATCCTTATCGGCCAGTCTGTCAGATGATGCTCTAAGCTTATAAAGGACATTAATTGTACAGTCCTAAGTAGTTACACCCTACTTAACCCACTAACTTCAGTGGATTTAAAAGAGTGTGACTCTGCTTTGGATTGTACTGTAGATCATTTGCTGTGGATTTATCGGATTGTGGGCCCTCATTTTGGTTTGATGTCAGTAGTATTGCTGAAATTCTGAACATGACAATGTTGAGTAGTCATTTCTTGCTGGTAGCATAAGGATTGCTAGTGTTGTCTTTTTTAGGATGACAACTTTTATTAAGTGCCAAGTGAACATACTAAAAATAAATCTGAGGCCTATTACTCCTACTGATGTGATAGAGAAAGAAATATTAAAGAGGACATTTCCTTCTAACAGATCTTATTGTATTTCTTTAATAGTGAGTTATATTCCTCCAGTATCGCAAAAAAACCACCTAGATTACAGCTTTGAGATATATATGTTTATTAATCAATTAAAGGAAAAGCAGTTACTCAATGAAGAGCTCTTTAATTGGTTGAGGTAATGGTTTTAATATTATATTCTTTATTTTGCCTTGCTTATGTAGGTATTTGAAAAAGCTATAGATCCTGTTGATGTGGTAGAACAGTTGGAAAGTAAGTATCTAAAAAGTATTCTTGGGTCTATTGTTATCCCAAATATGTATTGGTGTATTCTGTGCATTTCTCCTCATTAGCTTTCTTTAGTGCTTAAAGAAAAGCTCCTGTGTTGTGTGTGGTTTGTGGGTCATTCCAGAAGTCATCTTCTGTCCCCCTGCAGTAACAAGTCGGGAATATGTTATCAATAAGAAAAGGGCAAGGAATCCAATTTCACTGGAATAGCCCCACCAAAATGGCCTGACATTAATGGTTGACCCTGGGTCTCAATAAGAGGAAGTATAGGGCATGCTAGAGGGGAGAGGTGAAAGAAACAAGATTATGTGTTTTGTGGCTCTCAGCAAAATTTAAATTGCGTGTGTGTTATTGGTTCTGGAAACCTGGCTGTTTTGTTTACTGAAAATATATTTTAAATGCAAAATACCTCTTCAGCTGTCATGAATAACCTTGTTTATTTGTCTTCTTTTAGAAAATGTGACAAGATTTCGTTTATCTGAACTGATACCGACAGGTAAATGGAGAAGGAGATATTATTTAAAACTGTCACAAACTTAATCATGAAAGGGTGACTATCTTATTATGATGTTGGAATTTTACACTCCCATGCACACACCACCTCTGATATTCCCATTTCCCATCAATATTAGTCACCAGATATGAGGAAAAGGTGGTTCTAGCAAAATTGGGAAGTCATTTATTGGACAAGATAGGATCATAGCATGAGTTTGTGGTAGCAAATATAGTTGGCTATGGGTAGGGTTTTTTCTGTGTGGCTTTCTGATAACTGAACACAGGGTGGCAGAATAAGCCTTCTTTTGGTCATTTGATAAGTGTTGTGCAGTATAATACCATAGTGCAAGAAAGTTGTTGGCACACTGGAAAGTTCCTCCAGATAGAACTGGGAAGAAAAATGAAAAAGAGCTAGCAAAGCCAAGCCTAGTCATGAGAAAAAGAATAGGACATATTTACCATTTTCAGGCATTCAAAAGGAAGTCTGCAAGAAGAGAAGCTTACTCTGGTGGTTTTCAAACCAGTTTTTGGAGAACTCAAAGTTTTCTTGGAAGCTTCAATAAAAAGGTCAGTAATGGTAGACACACCTCCATACCCCTTTTCTACATTACTGATCTTCCTCTGCAATGGGCAGACACAGGAGAGTGTTGGTATATAGGGATGGGAACAAACCGGCTCATGAACTAAAGTTTGTGACAAATTTTGGGCAATTTGTGGTTCTGTGGGTCATGAAGTGAAGTTCATGGCAGGTCAACCGGCACGAGTTTTCTATGAACTTTCATGCTGTTCCTGGCGGTTCATGAATGGATACATTTCCAGACAGGCTGTCTCTGCTCAATCTAAATGTTTACCAAACTTCAAAGCAGCATAATTTGAAGGGCATGTAGAGGAGCATCCAGAGGGGGTTCCCTGCAACTTTGATGTCTCTAGCTTGCACAGGATCCATTCTATATGCTCCTGAACCTCCTGAACCTGCGCCTGTCAAAATGACTGCCTGTCATTTCCCCAGAAGGCACTTTCCTGGAGGCATCTTCTTTGAGAGGCTATAACTTGGACCCTGTAAATCTAGTCCTCACCAAACTTGGAGGGCAGGTAGAGGAGAGTCAGCTGGAGATCCTGTGCGAGTTTGGTGTCTCTAGCTTGCCAGGGGAGCACATTCTGCTATGTCTTGAACCTCATGAACCAAACCAATTTGTTTAGCTCTTAAAAGTTCATGTTTATGGTTCACGAACCAGGCGTGCCACAAACCATTAATAGAACCACATTTTCCTGGTTTGTGCCCATCCCTATTGGTGTGTCTTAGTGTGCACACTGCATTCTCAATTAATTCAGAGGAATCATGAGACCTGTGTGAAGTGACTATGTATGCCAAAAACATACCCCAGCATTATGTATAATGCACAGGATTTGCAAGGCATACTATCACATTTTTATTATGCCTTCCTGCTAAGAGCTCAACAATGTTCATCAGGTGTCCCCCATACAAATTTTATCTTCACAACAACCCTGTGAGGTAAGTAGAGCTGAAAAATACTGACAGGCAATCACCCAGTGAGTTTCATGGCTGAGTGGGGATTTGAACTTGGGTTTCTCTGGTCAAAGTCCAGTATTCTAGCTACTGTATCATGCTGGTGCACTGGGCTCCTTATCAGTCAGGTCACTGTGGGAAGGTTTCCTTAAAGGAAGAAAGTATGAATAGTTAGAGGGAAAAATCATGCACTAAGGGCAGGACAAAAAACTCCCAAGGCTTAAATGTAGGTAGATATAAATGCTGAATGGAATATTCCAGATATTAAGAGCAGTTCAGAAATAGAAAGTTGCTTAGGTAAGTTGTAGAGTCTCTATGCAGGAGCAATTTGCAGTGGGTAGTAGCTTTAAGGTAATCGGAGAATAGCTCTTCTGTGATTCTTGTTAATCGTCGTTGTAAATAGTATTTTAATTCTCAAGTTGTTTTTATTTTATTTATTGAATTAGGCCAAACTGAAACATATTCTTATTCATTTGCATTGCTCACATGCTCCATGGCTCTTGTGATTTAAATGCTACTCTGCTTGATGATGTCTCATAAGATTATTCAAATTTCTCAACTATTAATTGATCTAACAGTAGGATGTTTGGCTACCACAGATATCATCTATATAAATGAGGGTATAGAGATACTTGTTTAGAATTGTACTTCAAAGCAAAGGATTTGCTTTTCTGAAATTCAGCTAGGGAATTCTTCTCAAAGTAGATCTTTTTAAAAATAAAGAATGTGTTTTTAGTCCTAATGGATGTATTAAAAAATCTGAAAGTATGCAGCTGATTTTGTGATATGGGTGTCTAACCTAGAAGAGTCTGGATGGTTGTTTCAGGATTGGGCAATTAAATCTTTATTGTATTGCTTTTGTGGAGATCAATATGCAAAATGATTCCAATTTATCACATTAAAATATTTTTAATAATGACTCCTGTATCATCCTACATGTACAGTCTTTGACATTCATAGTGCTGACCATGCATCTTTCCCCCATAAACTGTTCCTAAGAAACAGAATAAACTGATTATTATGATTATAAATGTGGTTCTACTCCTACATATCCCCTGATGCCACATAATTTTGGAATTCCTCACAAATCAACTGGGCAGTTTGGCACTGATCCTTTTAGCGTCAATCCTGTCTCAAAATAGAATGGGGGACTTGTGATTACCTGACTGAGAACTAAAGATGGAATCATATTCTAGTTTTGCTATGCTAAGCCAAGTGTTCTACTGCAGAAGAAAGCATAAATGGGCTCTACTTCACTTCTCTTTTTTAATTGCAAACATTAATCACCACCACAGCAGCCAAAGCCATTGGAACGCAAGTCACTTGATTTCAAGGCATTTTCTAGGCTTTTGATCCTATACAAGAATGACTGTTCTGGAGTCTTTCTGACAAATTCTGGAAGGAGCACACAATAAGTGGCTTCTCATCAGTAATTTTATAGGACGTTCACTTCAGTGCCGGCTTAGTTAGGTGCTCCATGTTTAGAGCGCCTTCATATGTTTTATTTCTCAATAAAACCGGTGAGATGAACCAAAGTAGACAGAGGTTTTATTTGTTTAGTACTTCTCCTGTTGGACCACAGAAAGAAGAGTTATGTCGTATATGCAGTTGATTGGTATTGTGTTGAACTGATCAGCAGATGTGCCACTGGCAATACAGTCCTAAGGAGAGTTAAACTCTTCTAAGCGCATTGATTGCACAGTGAGCAAGGGCACAAGCGGCCTATCCTCCCTGCTCCATTTCCTTCACACCTGACACCACATTTCAAATTGTCCAAGATGATTTCTCAAGATTGCCAGTATCCCATGGTTATTATGGGGAATGACAATAACCCTAGATTTTGATCTTAAAATACACTGCTTGACTTTTGAATATATATGTGAGAAGTCTCTGAGCCTTGCTGTGAGTCTTGTCCTTCCCTGCTGATCGCTCTTGCTACTGAAATCTGAAACAAGCCTCTGCTGACAACATACTTGAAAGTTAAGAGATGATATAAATCCAATCTCTTCTTCTCTTCTTCATATTTTCATGCAACAGAAACCCACCTCCCCAAGAAAATTTATATAGAATGACAGGTACACTCCACAGTACCAGGCAAGTTGGGAAAAAGATGAAATGTACGATTGAAAACTTGCATGTTTTTGCTAAATAACAATCCCTATTATATTTTCCATATTTCCCCAAAGGTTGCATTTAGTTACCTTAGTGCATGCAGTGACATTCCATACTATATTCGAAGCGTGATCCTGTGCCTGGAGAGTGAGATAAAGCTATCTGGAGACCTCAGTGCCCCTCATTACTTTCAGTTATTTTATTTATTTACAGAATTTGTATCCCACCTTTCTGCCCTTCCGGGGTCCACCAAGGCAGCTATGATTGGTGCAGATTATTTATTTATATTTTGTTTTACTTCATTTATACCGTTTCTTTTGCCCCTGCGGGGACCCAAAGTGACTTATAAGATTTTCTTATAAGTTTTCTTAAAAGTTAGACTGAAAGTCCATGAGCATATCAACATAAGAAGAGCCCTCCTGGATCAGACAAATAGTCCATCTAGTCCAGCATCCTGTCTCACACAGTGGCCAACCAGTTCCTCTGGACAGCCAACAACAGGACATAAAGGCGAAGGCCTTTCGCTGATGTTGCCTCCTGGCTCTGGGATTCAGAGGTTTAGTGCCTTTGAATGTGGAGGTTCCCCATAGCCAACATGGCTGGTAGCCATTGATATCCTCCATGAATCTATCTAATCCCCTTTTAAAGCTGTTTATTTCTGTGGCCATCACTACATCTTCTGGCAGCAAATTCCATATTTTAAGCATTCTCTTAAAGTGTAAAGTGATATTTCCTATTTTATGTCCTGAACCCACTGCCCATCAGTTTCATTGGATGTCCCTGAGTATTAGTAGTTTGGGAGAGGGAGAAAACATTCTCTTTGTCAACTCTCTCCACCCCATGCATAATGTTATAAACCTCTATCATGTCCCCCCTTAGTCGTCTCTTTTCTAATCGGAGAAGTCCCAGACTCTTCAGTCTTTTCTCATAGGGAAGGTGCGCCAAGCACCTTGGTTGCCCTCCTCTGCACTTTTTCCAGCTATGCAATGTCCTTTTTGAGATACGGTGACCAGAACTGTACAGAGTATTCCAAATATGTCTTCACGATAGATCTATTCAGGGGCATTACAATATTGGCCATTTTATCCTCAATCCCTTTCCTAATAATCCCTAACATAGAGTTTGCTTTTTTCACCGCTGCAGCACATTGGGTTGATACTTTCATTGAGCTATCCACTACATCTCCAAGATCTTTTCCCCTTTCAGTCTCAGCAAGTTCTGAACCTATTAGCCTATACTTGCAGTTGGGATTTTTTGTCCCAATGCACATCACTTTACACTTACCAACACTGAACTCCATTCGCCACAGTGTTGCCCACTCACCCAGTTTGTGGAGGTCCTCTTGGAGCTCTTCACAGTCAGCCTTGGTTTTCACCATCCTGAATCATTTCGTGTCATCTGCAAACTTGGTCACTACACTACTCATCCCTAGTCCCAGATCCTTTATGAATAAATTAAATAGTACTGGCCCCAATACCAGTTCTTGTGGGACCCCACTGCTTGCTTCCCTCCATTGTGAGAACTGTCCATTTATTCCTAGTCTTTGCTTCCTGTCATTTAACCAGTTTTGAATCCTTAAGAGCACCCATCCTCTTATCCCATGACTGCTGAGTTTAGTTAGGAGTCTTTGGTGAGGTACCTTGTCAAAAGCCTTTTGAAAGTGCAGGTATATAATGTCTATGACTTGCCCAAGGTCACCCAGCCAGCATCCACGGCAGAGTAGGGATTCAAACCTGGGGATCCCAACCCTAGTCTGCCGCTCTACCTAGCGATGTGCATTCGGATCTACCTGAGCCAAAAAGCTACTTGAAAAATACCTTACTAGTACTTTTCAGGTAGATTTTGGCATCCCAAAAGTATCCGGGTTGGGAAAACTGGAAAAAAAATTCCCGAAAAGATCCCGGATATATTCAGGAATTACTGGGTACATCTGAAAATAGTGAAGGGGTGAGAGGAGATTGCTCCTGCCTCTCAGCTGTTTGTCGGGCTTCTACTGCAGTCCCTTTAAAGTTTAAAGGGACTGCAGAAGACAGCCTGAGGATCAGCTGTGCTGGTGGGGAGCAGGCTTGGGGCTGACTTTTCATATAGCCTGGTTTAAATAGGGCTGCAGAAGAAGCCAGCCCCAGGATCTACTATGCCACCAGGCTTCTCCTGTAGCCCAGTTTAAACTTGACTGTAGAAGAAGTGAGCCCAGCCAGGATCTCCTGTGCTGCGGAGCAATGTGCTCCGTTTAAACTGGGCTGCAGGAGAAGTGATCCCAGCCAGGATCCGCTGTGCCCATAGGGAGCAAATTGTTCCCCACTGGCTCAGGTTTGTACTGGCTTCTTCTGCCAGGCTGCAGGAGAAGCCAGGCCAACCCCAGGATCAGGCTGGCCTTTCCCCCCCTTGGGTCTATTGGACCAGGAAAAAAAATGGGGATTTCCAAAAAATCCTGGATTTGAATAAGGTACCAGTATTGGGATCCAGGACTGTTTGGAAATCGCTATTTTTTTTTTCTGGTTCAATAGACCCAAACAGAAACATACCAGTTTAAAAAATATTGCACACCCTTCTCTAACCACTGCACCACGCTGGCACATTTGAAGTAGTCTCTAAGGTTCATGTGGCCCACAGGATGCTATGTAAGTGGGAAGGACCCATTTCTGGCCTTATTCTTTGAGTGAGTGTTGTGATGAATTTTGGCAGCTCAGTTTTGTTACTCCCCACTCAAAGCTGGGGAGAGAGGGTGTTGGCCCAGTAGAGCAAAGGCAGTTAAAAATGGGACTGAGACCCATTAACAGTGAGCATCAGATGGTCTGTAAGCCCTCAAAACGTAAGGTGCCACAAGGCTTTTTGGGTAATGATGCACTAAGGCTGTTAAAATTTATTGAAGTGCACCTCTACGACAAAGAATGCCCAAGATGGTTAATGTTAGTTACCACACGTTTCAACAACAGTGTACACTGTTTGACAGAATATTTCTTGGAGGACAAAAGCATGAATCCTGTTAAAGTTTCCTTTTATATGAAAATATAAAGAGTTTGCATCTTTTGTCTTTTAGAGAAAGAAGAACTAGCATTTTATGAAGTGAATACTCGAGATTTTCTGTTTCCAGAACCCAAGCTGACTCCTGTGTATCCTGGTGTGGACAGGGAGTTACTGATGAAAACACATCCAACTTTCCCAGTAAGTTGTTGCAGAATGCCATGCCAACATTCAAGACCGGGAGGTTGTCTTGGTGACCTGGTCTTATTCATGTTATTACTAATCAACATTTGTCTTTTAATTTTTCTGTTTTTCAATTAAAATTGCTTGTTTGCATATAAAAATAGTTAAAAATAAAAGCAATCTGACCATTAAAACTATAAAACTAACCTAGACCACAGTAGCAGAACAATTACCGAAAAACAAGTAAACACACACAAAAATTGCTAGCTAGAACAAGACATAATAGCCATTTTCAGATGTTTTGGTATTCCTACCATGTGTGACTGCTCCAATTACGTATAAGGTTACCAGTATGCACAGTTGTCATTTTGTGCAAAGCATATTTTCTATGCATGTACAGCTTCTGTATGTGTGAATATGTTCCCTCAAAAATTTGGGTTTCCATTTGCATGTATCAAAGCTGTAAGGTAAAGGTAAAGGTTCCCTTGCTGGAAAGCCAGTCGAATCCGACTCTAGGGTTGCGGTGCTCATCTCTGTTTCAAAGCCGAAGAGCCAGCGCTGTCCGAAGACATTTCCGTGGTTATGTGGCCGGCATGACTAAACACCAAGGCGCACGGAACGCTGTTACCTTCCCACTGAAGTGGTACCTATTTATCTACTTGCAATTTCTTGCTTTCGAACTGCTGGATTGGCAGGAGCTGAAACTAGAGACGGGAGCTCACTCTGTCATGCGGCACACTCGGGTCTCGAACTGCTGAACTACCGACCTTCCACAGCCTGCAGTTCAGCGTCTTAACCACTTGAGCCACCGCAGCTCAAAGCTGTACATGCATGGAAAATACATTTGTTGCCCCTTCCTCACAAAATAATGACCACTCATATTGATCATGAGTTGTGTGTTCTCCTGTTAGGTGTAGCTGGAGTACTACAACTGAGCATCTGAAAAGGGGTAATGTTTTAGCTTCATGGGAAGGTTGTTGTATGATATGAGATTCACAGCTGAAAAAGCCCCGGTTAGAATGCCAGTGACATCCTAACTGCGAATGGAAGGAAGCGAGAACAGAACATCACCTGCTTATTTCAGGGCCTATGTGAGAGGAAATTTGTCCTAAGATTTGTAGGCTGTCTTGAGTAACACAGTAAAAAGGCAGCTAATAAATGTTTTAAATAAATAAACAAGGCATGTAGGCCTGACCATTTAGGGCTTTAAAGGTGAGATTTGGTGCTTGGACTGGGCCTGGAATTTAATACATGCTCAGCAGCTGGCAATTGCCAGGCTTTGGATTTCTGTGTGAGTTGAGGTGTGCAACTGACTGACTTGTTCCCCTTGCCAAGTATAAGAGGCTACTTTGCACATTGTTGCGATAGCAGACAGAGTGGCTTGTGCTAATGTAGTTGCAAGCCCAACATGGGCAACCTCATTACTAGAGAACAAATCGAGTCCAGTGGCACCTTTAAGATGAACAAAGTTTATTCAAGATATAAGCTTTCGTGTGCATGCACACTTCTTCAGATACAGTGGAATGGAAGTTACCAGTCCATGCATATAGGTAGAGGGGGAGCAGAAAATTAGCATGCAACATAATGAAGATGTTTAGCAGATGCAATGACCGGACAGAAATAACAAGCTTAGTTTATATGATCACCATTTATTTGGATTTAACTCCAGGGGGAAACATAGTGAATCAAATAAATATATCAAAATTGGAGACTGATGTGCATATGTACCCTTCTTAATTGTGGAATGCTGGGGGGATGACGTCCAACTAAGAGGGTAGACGCTTGAGCGCAGCGCTCCTTCTCCCCAGTCCCCTCTTTCTAATTATTGTCAGAACTGAGCTATTAGATGTTGGAAAATTTGGTAAAAATAGTTAAATATTCAGAGGTTGCAGTGGATCTTTGTTCACCGGAGACATTTTCTTTCTATGTAAAAATATTTATTTCTTTTTTTTTTGCAAAACAATTTATTAGGATATAATAAAATCAAACATACATCAAAATTTATATTGTTATACATCCTTTTTCTCCTTTCTCCCACCCCATGTCGGCTTCCCACAGTGTTCCAACCTCCAGCTCAGTTTTTGAAGTTACTTCCAACCTCTCTGCCTCTTTATACATCTACCGGTAACTTATTTAACTGTTGTTTTTATACATTTATCTTCTAACTTTCAATAGTTATCAAAGCAAAATAAGTTGTTATTTAAGTCCCAATATTTCTCTAGATATTCTTTAAAGTATTTCCAATCTGTAAAAAAGTTTTCAGCCTCTTTTTAAGATTTCTTGTTATCTTGTCCATCTCCACCATAAAAAGTAGTTTCTTTATCCATTCCTCAATTCCAGGGACCTTATCTTGTTTCCAACATTGAGCATAAGTCATTCTGGCAGTTGTGATCATATACCACATCAATGTTCTTTTTGCCATATTGACTTCTTCAATTTTAAGTCCCAGAAGTAATATTTCCGGCTCTTTCTTAAATTTACAACAACAAGCCTTTATTACGGTCATAGACCAGTATAATAGAAGACAGATAAGTACAGATAAGGGAGCAATAAAATTATAAATTTACATTTCACATTTTTTTCCATTTCCGCATGTATTTCAGTCTAAAACAATTTTGCTTTCTCACATGTCTACCACATAAAAATATTTATTTCTAAAGGGAAGGGTACAAAGGAAAATCTACAAAACAACAAACACTTAAGACTACATGGTTGCAACAACAGACGCACAGATAGTAATGGAGATTCTTCCTTTCTTCTTGACCCCCAGAGGGAAATCACCTGAATGCATTAACTAATCATTGTTAGTGAACAGGCTTCAGTTTCCGGGGCTTTCTTTCCCTTGGCTTTCTGCCAGGTTCCCTTCCAGGTCAGTCTAAACAACAGCACACAAGATAAGCAGATTAATCCTATAATGACTGACTTTAGACCTTGCAACACACATATTTCCAACATTAGACTCTCCCAAAAAGAATGCCACACGCAGAAGGACCAAAAATCCCCACAAAAAGCCAAGCCTCTTCAAGCCTATTACTCCTCAGCAGAGAAGAAGCTCGGATGGCAAAACCCGCAGACGACAGCAAAATGGACAGCATGAAGCAAGGTATGCAGAGTAATACCGGCCCGTTTTTAACGACAGAAAACTTTAATGACAGAAAAACTTTAATTAATTGGACACTTTCTCAGCCTTAGAAGAAGAAGATTGGATTTATACCCCGCCCTTCATTCAGAGTCTCAGAGCGGTTTACAAACTCCTTTACCTTCCCCTCTCCACAGCAGACACCCTGTGAGGTAGGTGGGGCTGAGAGAGCTCTTTCAAGAACTGCCCTTTCAAGGACAGCTCTGACAGAACTATGGCTTGCCCAAGGTCATCCAGCAGCTGCAAGTGGAGGAGTGGGGAATCAAACCCGGTTCTCCCAGATTAGAGTCTGCGCACTTAACCACTATAGCAAAGTGGCTCTCACCTTACTCAACCCATTGATGGCACAATTGGAAGAAATCAAAATCTCTCTGCAAAAAAGTCTCAGGTGGCTGAAAGTGCAATGGCAATGACAATCCTGATGCAAGAAGACATTCTTAATCTACACTCATCAGACTCTTATTTAAAAGAAAAAAAAATCATGATATTGGAAAATGACTTTTAAAAATGCAATTTGAAATTTCGGGGCTTTGAGGAGCAAGTGGAAGATACGGTAGAGTTTAGCTGTTTTTTGGCAAACTGGTTGGCAAGTGAACTGAGCTTGGAAGAAGGAATAGCTCCAATGACCACCAGTGCCTACCATATGGGAACTCCTAACAATCCAGCCAGAAAACCCCCAGGGGCATGATCATTACTTTTGGTGACTTCAGAACCAGGAAAAAAATATTTGAAGTGGCAATATCGAGAGCTGCTCTACAATATCAAGGTAAACAAATCCATGTATTCCCGGACATTTCAGCCGAGGCAATTCAGAAACAGAAAGACTTAAAAATATTAACCTCCAGACTTCTAGCTGCAAATTTAAAGTATAGGTGGATCACCCCGGCAAGAATCTGTGTGTTTAACCAAGGCAAGAGATACGAAATCACTAATAAAGAATTGGGTCGACTGATATTAAAAGCCCTCCATCTAGATCTTAATCTAGACATGGAATGTAAATCTCAAAAGAGAAAACTGGATTTTCTAACATCTCCTTCACAAGATTCCAAAATGCAGACCTGATTAGGAGTACCTGTGGAGAACACTTAAATTGGATATCGAGAGAGTTCTGGCAAGCAGTTCACAATCAGTTTCTGACTTTTTTGCATAATGAATAAGCTCACAAATAAGTTTTAGTTACTAGTAGTCAATTGGTGTTATTATTATAATAATTTTGCTATTCAATAGAATATTTTTAATGAGGGGTAGGGGAGGGGGTAGAGCCGGGCTCTCAGAGTCCCCCATAGTTTTGGGTGTCTTACAGTTAAGGCTAGTACCTTAGGCTTGCCCAGGAGGTGTCTTGGCCGAGCATCTGTGGGACATCCTTCATTCCGATTAAGGTTTAATATAAGTCAAAAGTTTAGTAAAACTGATTTAAAAGTTAAATTTCATTACAGTTTATTTTATTCAGGGAAGGGGGGTGAGGGAATGAGGGGGGGATACTTGTTTAGAATTTAATAGTTGTTCATCATCATCATCATCATCATCATCATCATCATCATCGACCTTTATTGGCATAGCATGGTGGTAGAAAAAAATTAAAACAAGATAAAACTGAGGGCTTTATACCACAGTAAAAGAGGTAAAAAGGTCATAAACAAACAGTTCAGAATGTCATATCCCAATATAAACTATACATTAAAAACTAAATGTTAAAAACTCTTGACCTTAGCTTCCATACAAGTGAGAGGAACTCAGCTACAGATGCAGTGATTTCAGGGGATTTATCAGAAAGCAAGAAGTTAAATTCATTATCAACAATCCTTACAAAAGCCAAAAGAGTGTGAATCAAGTGATGATGTAAGAAACAGTATTGGGGGCAATAAAGAAGAATATGTTG